AAAAAAAAAGAAAATACACAAAAAATAATATGTATAATTTGAAAATATATACGTATACTTAAAATAGACTTAATATAAAATAATTCATAAAATTGACAAAGAAAAAGCGAATTATTAATTACAAAGCGAAGAATAAAATGGTAAATTAAAAAGAAGCTACTTTATTCGCGTGCTGAGGTAACGTTATCGTTTGTTCGCGGAGCTTGACTTGAAAGCCCGACAGGTTGAACAGACTCAACCGCGACGAAGATACGTGTTCCCCGTAGCGAAACAGGCTCTCCTCCGTTGACTCGAGCAAGACTTGCTGGGTCGTTTCTCCTTCGGCCAACGACCGTCTCCACTCTACCTTTAGTTTCAACGTCGCTCCTTTTACGCGTGCTTTTATGTAAATACGATAGTGTTTAACTAAATTCGTACACCTAATTCGTATATCTCTCATATCATTCGTATATCTCTGAATGGTAAACATTGTGAAAGGGAGCATCTCATTTAAAGAAACTGTCCTTGAAAATATATTGTTTGAAAGCATTGAAGTTCCGAATGCATAATGCAGATATTATAAACTGATATCCATACAGTAGAAATGAAAAATATGTTATGATTAATAGGTACATACATATTTGAAATAATAGAGATGATACTCACATTTATATATATATGTGTATTACAAATGTATAAATACATGTTTTTATTTGCATGCAATAAGAAATGAATTTTACAATAACGAACTGTGTTATTGTAATATAGAGTTCTAGAGAAATAGATTTCTTTTTATTAAAGATATATATATTATTTATGAAATTTTATTCAAATAATATGATTAATATTTTTAAAAAAATAATCTTTGAAAATCTAATGTATTTTGGCGATATATATGTAATAAATTAATTAAATATAATTTATTAAAAGTATATTTAATAATATTTCATAGATCGAATTATTGATGAATTATTTGATACTATGATACTCAAAAAATACATGTTATAAAATTGAGAAAAAAAATATGAAGGAAATAATTAATTCATCGGAGAAATAACAAAGTTTATACATATGTATTATAATAAATATATATATTTTTCTAAAAAAATATTAAAAAAATTAGTACAATATCCAATCTAATGTAAATGTTTAGAAGACCAAAATTGATAAATCAAAATTCGAAGCTAAAACAAGAGTGACATTTTTATGGAAGAAAGAAATCGTGGAAGAATTAAAGTTTTTAAAAAAACAAGACCGATTTTACTCACGTTTCTGTCATGATATTCATAGGTATGCGAATACAAAAGTATAAGTAAAACCGACATCATTGATAAAGCACATGATATATGATATAGAAAAAGACGTGCGCGAATTAAGCGCGAATATACATAAAGGGTTATATGTTGTGCAGAGTTCGATATAGATGAATTGTATTTACAATAATATTTTCTACTTGTATCGGCAGTTTTCCGTACCGTCTACAAAGACAATTTTTTCCACTGTCTTATACTTGATGAGGAGCCGTTGCGATGAATGCAATGTTCACTGGCAATGAAACTTTTTCTTCTCCTTTCGCTACAATTTTCTCGTGAAATCCGGCACGATTACTCACATCTTAAAACGCGATTCCGTCTTGAAACTGCATTCGTAGGCCCGGTATTTGATGCTTGGATGTTAGAATCGCGTCAGCTCTTTAACTGTTACTCTCGATCTTTGATATTTCACTGTATTACACTCACTCACCACCGCGCTTCCCCCGACCCTTAAATAAGATAGATAATATACTCGGCCGAGTTACAGACCTACCGAGCTACCAGCTATCGTCCCGAGTCCCGGCCAGTTCTCGATGTCTTTTTTCCGCGCTGAGAACTCTTCACTTTTCAGTTTGGTTTATATATCGATTCGTATAGAATAGTAAATTTCTTTTTATTTGGATCACTAAAATCACTTGCCTTGATAAAAATTGCGCGATAATTTCTTATGAACATGTATGAACCGTAAAAATCGTGAAAATGATGAGATATTGACAAATACGTTGCGGCGTCGCGACACTGTCGACTAAATTTCACTTGACCACTAGTTGGCGCCACGTTGCGATCCCTCGTCTTTTGATTTGTAAAAATATTCTCGCCGACAATGAAATATTTTATACTTAGTATCTATGCTTTTTTACATTATATATTGCATAGATTTTTACATCAAGATATTATGTGTTATCTTTTAAAATTTTCATTTTAATTTAGTTTTTAATCTTTAAATAATATAAATAAGTATCATTTAAGATCATTTTAATCTAAAATTTTATAATAATTTGTTTCGATATTTTTTAATAATATAAGTTATTAAAATTATTAATTTATTAAATTAAATATTTATTTTATAACTATATTAAGTTTTATATAATTATCGCAACATTTATTTATTTTTACTATAAATTAAAATAATTAAAAACTATAACAATAATTATATTATATAAAATTTAAAAAAAAAATTTATTATGTTTTC